TATGTCCAAAGAATGAGAGATGAAGTCCGGCCATCCTAGCCTCCATGGAGCACTCTGGCTGTATTTCTTCCAACACAGATCTATTGGTTCTTTTGGAAGCTTACAGCACTTTCAATATTCTCTTCCAAAACCATAACTCAAATGCATCAATTCTTTTATGGTCTTCCTTAATCACTGTCCCACTTTCGCATGCATATGAGATTACTGAAAATACCATGGCTTGGGTCAGGCATACCTTAGTCCTCAAGCTGACATCTTTACTCTTCAACACTTTAAAGTGGTCTTGTGCAACTGAATTGACTAATGCAAACTGTTGCTTGATTGCTGCTTCTATTGGTGTTGATGATTATTTGGAGAAAAATGAAGTATTTGAAAACTTCAAACTTTTCTTCATTGATAAGGATGTTGTTTATTGATCCAGTGGTGAGGATTTTTGCTTTCTTTACAATTCAGAACTTGAATTAAACGTTCCTCTGGAGATCATCTTTCAGCCAAACAAATAGATAAACCTATAAAATGAACAGTAATGTCTGTGAGGAATAAACAATTCAATTAACCATACATGACCCAAAACAGCAGCATATGATCAAAAACAAAGTTCAGAAGGCAGGAGAGCAGGAAAAGAATGTATGGAAATAGGAAACCCAGAGAGAAAATAGGAAGGCTCTTGTTAAGATTGAGGAGAGTGAAACTATGTCACAAAACAAAACAACAAAAAAGTAGAAATTGCTGAATGGAAAACTAATTTGTTCTGTAAACATTTCCCAAAAATACAAATAAATTAAAAATAGAGTGTATTAAAGGCTTATTACTCACATAAGGAGGTTGTCTTGGGAGACCTTGGCAGACTCCCAAATTGTTCCACACATGTTTTGAGAGATAAAAGAAAGAAGAGATCTAGGAATATTTTGTGGTTACCAGTGGATCTGGTAGGAAGATTCTAGCACAAAGTCAGTGACTTGGCCAATGTGAATCTATTTCCAATTCCAAAAGGAAGATCACCTCAGCTGTTTTGCCATCTTGCCCAAATGAGGGGCAAAAGGCAATAACCTGAGCTGTTTTGTCATCTTGCCCAAATGAGAGGCAGAAGGCAGGAGACAGGGTGAGCTTTAAGGTCTCTTAATAGTCAAGCATCAAAACAAATGG